TACCTTTATTTTGTAAAAAATTTTATTTTTATTTAAATAGATTTAGGGGATTTGAGGGTTTTTTTTTTTGTTGTTGTTGTTGTTGTTGTTGTTACATGACTGAATTACATAATGGAGAAGTTTAGGCTTTTAATTTACCTATCACTCGAATAGTGTACATTGTACACAATAGGTAATTTTTCATCCCAAACCCTCCTCACATCCTCCCCCTTCTGAGTCTCCAGTGTCTATCAAGTCACTCTCTATGACCAGGTATACCCATTGCTAAGCTCCCACTTACAAACACTAAGATATATCTGATTTTCTGTTCCTGGGCTACTTCACTTAAAATAATAGCCTCCAGTTTCATCCAAGTTGCTGCAAAAGACATTGTTTTATTCTTTTTGATGGCTGACTGAGTAGTATTCCATCGCGTGTGTGTACTACCCACATTTTCTTTATGCAGTGATTGGTTGGAGGGCACTTAAGTTGATTCCATAACTTTGCAACTGTGAATTGTGCTATGATAAACATATGGATGAAAGTGTCTTTTTAATAAAATGACTTATTTTCCTCTGGGTAGATCCCTAGGATTGGGGTTGCTGGATAGAATGGTAGATCTACTCTTATTTCTTTGAGGAATCTATACTGTTTTCCATAGAGGTTGTACGAATTTACATTCCCTCCAATGATGTGTAAGCATTGTTTTCACTGCATCCATGCCAACATCTATTGTTTTTTGACTTTTTATTAATACTGTTCTGACAGGGGAAAGGTGGTATGTAATATCTCATTGTGGCTTTAGTTTGCATTTCCCTAATGATTAGCAATGTTGAACATTTTTTCCTGTTTCTTGGCTATTTATTTCTCTTCTTTTGAAAAATGTCTGTGTCTGTGCCCATATTTTAATCATGTTATTTGTTTTCACTTGATGATTTGCTTGATTTCCTTATAGAGTCTAGATATTAGACCATTGTCAAATGCATAGCTTGTGAATATTGATTGTCTATTTACTTTGTTGATTATACCTTTTGCTGTGCAAAAGCTTTTTAGTTTAATTAAGTCCCATTTATTTTTTAAGGGGAAAATATGTAACTTTATTTTTAACAGAGTAATTAAATTCTGCTACAGGTTAGAGACACTGAGTTTTTTTAATTTAATAAACACATCTGAAAATACTTTCTTTTGAAGAAAGACTGTCTCTCCTCAATCCACAGATCATGTGCCCCTCTGGTAGAACCCCACACCTACAGCAGCTACCTACTCACATAGTTTACTTCTTTTCACTCTATGGAGAGGGTTACCTCTTATTTGCCTGCAAATACTATTTAAGTACGATAACTTTCCTTTCCCCAGAATCCTTCCAAATACAAGTTCTTGTGTTGATTTCAAATTTTAAATGATTTCTTTCTGAGAAGGAAAGAATCTGGCATCCACAGAAGCCAAATTGGAGCCACTTCAACCAGAACTTATGATCACCATGACATTATGTATGAGGCTTTGGTCAGACTTCTATCCACTGGATCCATTATGAAAGGAAAGGAGAAAAGGAACACATATAGTAAAGCTATCTATGCCTCAGAGACTATACCTTATTTCAAAAATAGAAACCCCCATTTAAATTTAATCTCTTTGAAGCAGGCCAAATATTTGATTCTGCATGGAACGTATCTGTTATTGCTTATACATGACCTGCTGGCACCAAGCTGCTCAATTGACCATGTTAGAGAACATCAGAACTGAATCAAATCAACATCACAAATCACAAAAGTGTTCTGTCTTCATCCAGTAGTCCAGGAACCCTATTTCCACAAGTATCTGTCTGATTCAGGGATAAGGTATTCCTCTCATCTCTGAGCTAAGAAATAGTAGAGTCCCTATTGATTCTGAGTTGCAAATAATTATTTTCATGTCTATAGTTACATTCCCTGTGCAATCACAATGTTACAAAACCCTAGAATTTCCCAGTTTTTAGAATGGAAAAAAAAAAAAAAAAGCCCTGTGGATTCAGAGGAAACTTTCACTGAAACTTCAAGGATCTCACCTGTACCTGCCTTAGTGATACCCTAGTAACTAAGACATGAATGTGAATCTTTGGTAAATATCAGGAAAAAATTCTCAGTCTTATTGGTCTTTATAGTGATTAATAAGCTTTCTGTGTACTCCATTTCATATTAATCCACATTTTAAAAACCTATTTCATGGAATTATTTGTGTGATGGTTCATAATACCCAATAATTGTAAAAGATATAACTATGAGAAAAATGTCTGCTTATAAAATATAAGGAGGTGGGAGGTGGTGCCTGTGGCTCAGTGGGTAGGGTGCTGGTCCCACATACTGAGGGTGGTGGGTTCGAACCCAGCCCCAGCTACACTGCAACAAAAAAAAAAAAAAGAAAGAAAAAATATATATAAGGAAGTGATAAATGCTTCGTGGGTGCAGAAGGCATTAGGAGACCACAAAGAACATCATGACCCTTGCCTATGATTTTGCTAAAGGCCCCACTTCAAAAGGGCACACTGCTGGTGTCTGTTATCTCCTGGAATGTTTGACATGCACAACCTCAACACCCCAGGAAGGAAGGACATCCACAGGAAGCTGGGAACAGCTGGGAGAGGCAGTGATGACAGGTTTGATAATCTACCTGAACTACCTTGCAAGAAATGCTGTAAAACTGCAATAAGCTGTCAATATTGTACATATAATTTCAGAGAGAAGCTATTTGGGATGAGAAAATTGGGGGGAGATGGTAAAGATGTTCTAGTTCTTGCAAGTTTACCCTTTTTGGTACCAGTACAGAATACCTTAGTCACTAAGTATTCCCAAGAATGCTGCAACTGTTGGTGGTGTGTATCCATGTGTGGGAGCACACATCTGTGTGCATGCAGGTAATGTGGTCTCTAGAGCTCTGGAGACTTCTGTATATTCTTCTTGGCAATCTTATAAAACTGCTTTTGGTCAACCTGCCACATTTTTGGAAGCATCTGCATTAGCTCCACTTTCATCATTGGGGTATGATCAATGCCAATCTTTCAAAATAATTCTCTTTATTCATAGGAACTGCCACAGTTCCTTCCAGAGGAGTCAGTATTGTTTGTATTCAGCCATCTGCTTCTTGAGCATTGTCCCTCCCATGGCCCAGCAACAGCTGTGCTCAGCAGCCCCGCCTCATCAGAGTTCGTCACCCCACCCTTGTGTCAAGGGCTGCTTCTGGCCATTTACTTATTTTTGTTTTTGTTGTATTTGCTTTGGGGACTTTATACATAAATGCATTACCTAGACCAATGTTGAGGATAGTTTTTCCTAGGTTTTCTTCTAAAATTTTTATGGTTTCAGGTCTCTTATTTTTTTAATTTTTGAGAGAGTCTCAAGCTGTCGCCCTGGTTAGAGTGTCGTGCCATCACAGTTCACAGAAACCTCAAACTCTTGGGCTTAAGCAATTCTCTTGCTTCGGCCTCCCAAGTAGCTGGGACTACAGGC